AATTGGTAAAGTGAGAACATCTTTTGGCACACTTGAGAAACCCATTAAAGAAAAGTCATTTCATATTAAAGATAAATACAAAATGCTTCAAAGATACGAATATGGGGAAGTCATACTAAAACTTTCTACTAACTAGTTATATTAGTAAAACATTCTAATGAACTGACTCATATTTATGCTCAGTTACTTGGAAATACTCCTGACTAGCCCCTTGTATTGCATTTGATCTAGAAAGCTTTTTAAAATAACCTGGTAACTATTACAATTGTTCTTATTTTCAACATGGAGAGTCTTATTTTCAACATGAAGGTAGATTTAACAATGCAAAAAGAATTAAAATATGACCATTGCTTTCCCCTGAAAATGATGTTAAATTTGTGAATGTTTTACATTAGTTCATCATTGGAGACTAGCACTTAACACTTTCCTAAGGAAAACTATTCTTTTTTTCTTTTTCAAATATAGTTTTATTGATTTCAGATAGCAAGGGAGAGAAAGATAGAAACATCAATGATGAGAGGGAATCATTGATTGGCTGCCTCCTGCACACTCCCTACTGGGGATCGAGCCTGCAACCCAAGCATATGCCCTTGACTGGAATTGAACCTGAGACCATTCAGTCCACAGGCCGACTTTCTATCTACTGAGCCACACCAGCTAGGGCAGGAAAACTATTCTTATTCATTAGAGTAGGCAAAGAGGAATGGCATGAGAACAAGCAACATGCACACAAGCATACACATCCCCACACTCACCATACTGGCTTCTGAACTGTTAATAAACAGCAGGAAATGAATGGTTATACTGCTTCTTTTGCCATCAGTAAGGAAAATAAAAAGAGGCTATGACTTAACTAAAAACTGAGTCAGATGGCTCTAAAGAATTTATTAATAAATTAAATTTCAAAAAACATTTCGATATATCAAAGTCTCTAATAATTTCTTAAGATATTGACTTATAAGATATACATGACTTATTACCTTCAAAGATAAATGGCCACAGGGAATATGCCTCTTTCCTATGGCACACCTCAATTAAAATAAAAAAGTACTGAAATCAGTTCATAACTTTAACTTACTTCTCTGTAGAATCAAATCAGGAATATTAAGATCCTGGGTCAGAAATCACAATCTGCTTGAATATTTTAGATTTTATCATCTAACAAAGGAAATCTAAGAATCTTAGATTAGCAATTCTAATTTATACTGTTTAAAAATATGGGAGAAAAGGTTAATCTTAAGAACAGATTTTTAAAATATTTCCAAGTTTAGATAATCAACTATTGTCAGCCTATTTTATAATCATTTTTTGTTGTTGTTAATCCTCACCCAAGGATGTTTTTTCCATTGATTTTTAGAGTGTGAAGGGGGTCTGGGGAGACAGAGAGCAAAACATCAATTTGAGAGAGACACATCAATAGGTTGCCTACCACACACGCCCCAACTGGGCTGGGGAACAAACCTGCAACCAAGGTATGTGCCCTTGACAGGGAATGGAACCCATGACCCCTGGTGCACTGGCCAATGCCAGGGCTGATTTTATCATCTTAATTCAAAAAATACTGCCCTGGCCGCTATGGCTCAGTCAGTTGGGTGCCATCCCGTGTACCAAGATTATCGGTTCAATTCCCTATCAGGGTACATGCACAGGTTGTGGGCTCAATTCCCGGTAGGGGATGTGCAGGAGGCAGCCCGTAGATGTTTCGCTGTCACACTGATGTTTTTTTTCTCTCCTTCTCCCTTCCTTCCTCTTTAAAAAAATCAATAAAAATAAAAAATGCTATTTTATGAAACTGTTACACAACAATATAACATACCTCATAATGTATTTAACCAACAATAAGCAAATGTCACTACTATTTCTATTAACAACAATTCCATGGCACAGCGTAAATGTTATTCCTGAATAGATTCTTGCTCAGCTTCTGGCTTTGTTCCCTGACCTGACACGTCTCTCTACCCCAAGTCTACCCACTCCTGACTGCTTTTAAGTTCCCAGAATGTATGTGGCTGTTGAACAATCTCTTCTATCTTGAAAACCTTCTCCATTCTCCATCTTTAGGAATCAGTTCAAATGAAATCTCCTATGTCAAGTCTCCCAGTGTTCCCAGAGTGCTTTGTATAGCCATACACCATAGCATGTACCAAAATACAACTGCTCGTACACATGTCTGTCAGTCCCACCTCTCACAGGAACACGCACAAACACACACACACACACACACACACACACACACACACACACCACATTTCTGTATTCTCAACATTTAGGTGCTTAATGTTTGTAAAATTATAAGCATTTTCTAGGGCATCTTTTCTCTTAAAGCCCATTTGTTGGAAGATTTCTTTTTAAACATGTGGGAGTTGAATGTCTACATCCAAAATGTCTACACATGCAAAGAACATCTTACCCTTTCCAGACCAAGTTTCCTGGTCTGTTATTTTTCTGACAGTGAACTAATTCATTAGACCAAGACGACCATTTATGAGGTCTAAGGACAAAGGGCACTAATGCTGTACAAGCCTAAGGTTGTTAAAAATCTAAAATATGTGGAATTTGTTTTAAAGGAGAAAAGAGAGAAAAAAAATTTTTAACTGCCCTTAAAAAGAATGATTGTATGTTTATCAAACACTCAGCTTCACTTAGGCATTTATTTAAGCCATTTATTGCTTCAAGTGTGTTACCATGAACATTTTAATATACACTCCACAGCAGTAAGGCCTCAGTTTTCACCACCTATAAACTGTGAACCCACAATTGACTTTTTTTAGGCCACCAATCGTTACATGAGTCTTGTACACAACAAAGATTTTGAATGTGTATTTTATAATACCAAAAATGCTCATTATACGCCTTGCAAATGTCACAACAAACACTAATAGTTGGCCACATTATATTTGATGAGGTAGTTCCATGTCTGGCTATCTGAGATATTAACAGGTTCCACCCATTATTAAATAACTGCACAAAGTTTTGGTTTACTTCTTTATACACACTTCATAAAATAGTCAATGTTTGAGCTTAAGATTTGTCAAAATGTTTCGGAGTGACTTGGGAAGCAGTGGAATTCACATACTGAAAAGGGCTGTAGCAGCTGGACATAGGGATGTTCCTGACTCTGACAAGGAACTTTCTCTTAAAATAAGGCTGAATATAAGGCTTTATCCTCGGACCAATTCCTATAATACAAATAAGTTTGGAAAAAATCATTACATAGAATTAGAACATTAAACAATAACACTAAGCATCTCCAGGCAACATGCTGATAAGCTAGTGGAATACTACATTATATATTATTTCTTAAAGATTTATAAAATTTTCATGAAATATCGAGTACCACCAAATCGTGATACTAGGGACACTATGAAATCACGGTAACGCACAGATGAGCCTCACTTAGCTCCATGGGCTGTCCAGTGATAAACAGACTGCGGAGCCTCAGAGCTGTGGCACTGGAAGCCGGAAGAGGCCTTTGAAATCCCCTATCTACCCCAAACCCTTTGGGTAGCATTGCATAGACGTCACAGTTTTCTGAATAAGTTCTAAGAGGCTCATAAGTAGTTTTCATTAAAGTAAAAATCTGATGTACCCAGTACGTTTTGATATAAAAAAATATGACATAATAAATATTTTAAAAGCTTTAAGGATTTTTCTACGGATCAGACTCAATAGTATGCAAAATTTATAATTTAAATAGCACCTATAGAATAAAACCATAGAAGTGCTTTAGAGACTTCCTACAGCTAGCATCACCCTGGTTTAATAAGGCCCAGAGTGATTAAAAATTTGAATTAACTGTCATACTAGAATATGGTAAAATTAAAAAAAAAGAAAAGAAAAAAGAATTTTAAACTCCAATTCAGGGGGTTGCTTTATTTAAATTGGCCACACTGCCTTAAGTCAAATATCTATAACCATTATTTTCATTTTACCTGCTGTAATTAGACTTCTTTCATGTCCTTCCAACTGAAGGAAAAGCTAGAAGGATGATCTAAAAAAATACATCTGCATTTCAAATTTACATTAAAAATGTCTTTCCCTTATTTTCACATCACAAATTCTAAGCATTATTAAAGAAATCACAGATTAAACAGCTTTCTGTGTCTCGGGCCTCAGTCCTTTTTAGATTATGAAAATTGGAATTTAATTAGAATTGAGAAATTTTCATTAAGTGTGTAAAATATAAATACAAGTAATTTTTTAAAAACTTTATTTTAACACCTAATACAATTCCAATTTTAAGGATTACTTGCACAAAAAAATAAACACATTTGGTATAAAATGTATCCCTTTAATACCCTTTCCCCTTCAGCCCCTCCCCTCCCACCCTCCTAACTGCACTCGGTCTGGATGTAGACATATAGACTAATGGCACAGATTCGCTTTTACCTACAGGAGTTTCAGTTTAAGTGCCCAGGTTCTCTGGAGGACACAGCTCACTTTATCACATGAACCACTTCCTTCAGCCTGCTGAACGCAGTTTCACAAAGAAACAAAGCTTATTATAAAGGCATTTAAAAAACCATTATCTTAAATTCTCTTTAGAAGCACTACCTTTTTTTTTTTTTTTAACCATTTATATACAGTATTACATAACAGCTCTGGAGTGCAGTACATGCAGCAGAACATACCTGTTGAATATAAAATACTTTTCTTAAAACCTTCATCGTTGGAATTCTTAAAGTCTAAATTATAGAATGCCCATTACTTTGTGAAAACGGCTGAGGAATACAAATGTCTGCATATGTTGGCCACTGAAAGAATCCAAGGCTAACTGGAATAATATTCATAGCACACCAGGAGTGCATAAATAATTTACTTACATTATTAAAATACAACCCATAAAATTCAAGTTCAAGGTCTTACAGGATTGCCTATGTAAATCCTTTAAGTGGTTGCCTGGAAATGCACTGTATCTTCTTTCTCTTTTCTTCTTTTTTAAAGTCTTATATAAAATGTTTAGTTGAAGTCTTACTCTTTCTCAAACGAAATGACAGTCTTTATTTGTGCCGACTGCCTCTTCTCTTCATGGCAGCAGTACACTGTGGACAGTACCATTTCCCTTTTGGTGCTTCTGTCAACCCAACGCATCCATAATGGAACCATTCTATCGGGCACTAGAAAGCAAAATTGCAAAGAAGTGTTTAGTTCCTCTAAAGATGAGGGAATGTGTTAAAATATGTCCACTACACTGAATATTAGACTAATGGAAACATAATGTTTAGATCTAGGAGCTGATTTATAAACCACACGGTCCAACTGATAAGCTTCAGAGATGAGGAAATGGAGGCACAGAAAAATTATGCACCTTTGTTAACTGAGGTTCTTGTAATCTATCCCCATGATTCTAAATAAGGAACAAAAATTTACTAATTTTCATGTTCTTGGAGAGTAAGTTGATACCAACTTTTAAAGTTAAGAAGTGAGATGGGTCTCTTATGTAAAAAGGAAATGTATTTTTAAAGATTTTATTTAATACTAAGGCCCAGTGCACAAGATTTGTGCACTGGGGGGGGGGGTGGTCCCTCAGCCTGATCTGCACCATCTCACAGTCTGAGAGCCCTCGGGGGATATCCGAATGACATCCTTAGCACTGCCGCGGATTTATGGCTGAGCAGTGCTCATCCTGAGGGAGCACAATGACTACCAGGGGGCAGCTCCTGCATTGAGTGTCTGTCTCCTGGTGGTCAGTAAGCATCTTAGCAACAGGTCATTCGGTCAATTTGCATATTACCCTTTAATTATATAGGATTAGCCTTATTCACTCCCACATGGAGTGGAATAAGCTACTTGTAATTAAAGACATAAAGGAATGCCCTGGCTTTCCCTTTTGAATGAACCCAATCCTGGATATCCAGAGAGGAAAAGTGCTGTACTCTGCAATATGTTAGGCAGTTCTACACTTCATAGAAAATCTTAGCAATCACAAGAGTGTAACTGGGAACAAGAGAGATCAGAATATGAAAGAGTAATCACAGAAATCTTATTTGTCATTTCCACTAACAGCCGAGGAGACAGTTTCCAATGGTGTTCTTTAAATGTTTGGGCAATACTGTCTTACAATAATTACAAGCAGCCTGTAAGTGATTCTAAAGAGGGAAGTGGAAGGAGGGTCGTTCTCATTCTATGTGAACATGTTTTTGGGATCCTGTTAGGTCAGAGAGTGTCCAAATTTCAAGGTACCTAGCCAACTTTGCTCAATCTTCACATTATTTACAAATTCAAATCTCTTAGGTTTGATATTCCTGAGTAGGATTTCTATGGAATTCAGAGTGGTTACCCCTCTGGAGTAAAAGATGGACAAAAGAGTTACATGAAAGTAAAGAGGGAGTGAAAATTACTAACTACACATATTCTCAGCAATCAATAAAGCTTCTCTCTAATCAAAATTAAGCTTTCAAAAGAAGAGTAATTTCAAAACTCCTTTATTTTTTTATATAAGTCATTTTTTTATATCAGCTGACACCTGCAGAGGACATACTACACTAATGGGAGGAAAATAATCTCACATCCCCTCCCCTTCACCTGAACATTATGCTTCTTGAAAGAAGGTATTGTTTCAAGTTCCAATTCTTCACTGTGAATGGTGAATTGGATTCTAGCAAACACAATATTCTTTAGCAAAAGGGGAGGGGGGTTTCTAATTTTCATACAATATAACACCTTTTGAAAAATACAATTTGCATAAAACCATAAAATTAGCTTTAAAAGTTAAAATAGGGAACACATTAAGAGACACTATCCTATTTAGGAGAAGAATATTCTAGCATTAATATGACAGAATTAACATAACTGCAAACTCTTTTCTTAGACTGAAAGACACAATAAATAACAATATTCAAGTAATAATGTGCTTTTTTTCATTCCTAAATAGAAAAATGTGATACTTACATCTTGGTTATCACAGCCCACCATCTCACCATAGGATACCTGGTTAAAGGAAAAATCTTATTATGACTATAGAACAAACATCTAAATCCAAATGAACTGTTTATGATACTATTGGTTAATAGAAATACACTGAACATACACTTACATTAAGAAACAGGGTACACAGATTTACACTTTTACATTCTTTCCAAAAAACTTTATGGGGGCATAAGAGGAGACACACATAAATTATATGCCCTTTGAAAGTCTGAAAGAACTTCTCTGTGGGAGTCATCTTTGTGGGAGATTCATTAATTAAAGACCTTAAGTTTCTTTTTTGGTTACTTACTACTTAGGTTTTTATTTTTCCTTGGGTCATGTTAGATCATCTATATTTTAGCAGTCAATAGTCCATTTCATTAAAACTTCTACACTTATTATCTATTATATGTCCTTTCTCATTTTCCTTTTTGCTCTTTACTGCTAGCACTTTATAGCACTACTTCCTAACTCCTGAATTCAATGAAGTTCTCAATGGACTGAATAATTTTCCAGAAAAGGTAACTAGATGGCATACTTTCAGATTCTATGGACATGAACAATAACTTTACTCTGGGTAACAGTTTTTGGGAGAATACTCAAATTTTTCCCCTAAGTTCTACATACATATTTCATCAACTTCTGACTTTTAGTGTTATGGAGGGGAATTGTAGGTGAATCTGATTTTGTTCTTTTGTAGGTAACCTACTTTTATTGCCAAGATTTATACAAGATTTCCTTTCCTTAATCCAGGAATGAAATCAGTCAGCACCTTCATCCTTGACTACCCAATCTACAGAATTGGGAGAAATAAAGTTCTGCTCTTTAAACCATGTAGCCTGTGGTATACCCTTATAGCAACATGAACAGACTAAAACAATATGCACGTGGTTATGTAGTAGTGGTACATTAAAATGTTTAATTACAGGTTACATCTGAAGGCTGAGATTATGGATAACTTACATGTTTCTTTATACTCTTTGTATTTACAACAAACATCATTTTTATAAAAAGCCGGAAAAAATTGTATATATAGTAAAAAAAAAAAAAAGCAAGGGTATTTTAACTGGAGTAAAAATAGCACATGAAATTGTTCTTTCCTCGTTTGTTCAGATTATGCTTTTATAGACACATGCCAGACTTTTACCTGATTACAGATGCAATATCGTGGTTCATTTGGGTCATAAGTCCAATCAACCTGACTATTTGAATCGGCTTCTGGTACGACTGTTGTTTGTTGAGAGATTTCTTGTACAACAGTTGATGATGAAGAACACGATGACAAGGAAGAGGAGGAGGAGGAAGAGGATGACTGCTGGCTTGAAGACTTGTTGTTGTTTCTGAAAAAACAAACAAACAAGCAAACAAAAAAAACAACATCAGTTTTATTTGCTCAGCATCCAGAAGTTACTGAGAATAACTACTAAATAAAAGTGGCATGAAATCAAATATATAAATTAATGTTTAAGACCAAATTAATCTGATAAAGAGATTAAAAAAATATAGTTGTTTAGAACAAAGAGCAACATTTTTCATAATGGTTTATTTTTCTTTAAAATTTTTTTGTGGAGAATAAAGGTATTCAAAAGGAAATTTTTTCAAAATATTTCAAAGTTTTTAAAATAATTTTTTAATCAGTACTATTTACTATTGACTTAAATTGTAGGCAATCTCTTTAAGAATTAGCACTAGTTATGGCTCCTTTACAGATATTCTTTGTATTTTTAAGCACACTGAATAGTCTTCATCAAAATTTAACATACAAAGATGTATACAAAAGCGTTTGGTGAGCCTGGCCAGTGTGGCTCAGTGGTTGAGTGTCCTCCCACGTGGTCACTGATTTGATTCCTGATCAGGCACATGTCCAGGTTGCGGGCTTGATCCCCAGTATGAGATGTGAAAAAGGCAGCCGATCAATGTTTCTCTCTCATCGATGTTTCTAACTCTCTCTCCCTTCCTCTCTCTAAAAAAAAAAAAAAAAAAAAAAAAAAAAAAAAAAAAGTATTTTTAAAGAAAGCATTTGGTAAAAATGATCATGATCATCAACTGATGTGTGAATACTTACCTGTGTAGGACAGGAAACCAAAAGTTTTAAAGTTCACAAGTAACTTGCCATTATCTGCATGTTAATTCCATTTTAAAAACACAAAAATTTATCATCAGCAGTTATAATAAATTGGGGTCATTAAGATGAATTTTTAAAATACTTAGCACTTTTGTGGTAATTCTACACTGATCACTCTTTCAGAGACTTACAAAAATAGATTACATTAAAAAATTATAGTACAACTAGAGGCATAGGGCAGGGGTGTGTGTCCCTCGGCACAGCCTGCACCCTCTCCAATCTGGGACCCTCAAGGGATGTCTGACTGCCCATTTAGGCCCGATCCCCCTGGGCAGTCAGAAATCCCTCTCACAGTTCAGGACTACTGGGTCCCAACCGCTTGCCTGCCTGCCTGCCTGATTGCCCCTAACTGCTTCTGCCTGCCAGCCTGATCACCCCCAACCACTCCCCTGCCAGCCTGATTGATACCTAACTCCTCCCCTGCCAGCCTGATTGCCCCTGCCTTCCCCTGCCAGCCTGGTCATCCCTAACTGCCCTCCACTGCCAGCCTGGTCACCTCCATCCTCTCTCCCCTGCAGGCCTGGTCACCCTCAACTGTTCTCCTCTGAAGGCCTGGTCCGTCCTAACAGTCCTTCCCTGCTGGCCTGGTTGCCCCCTGCAGGTCTGGCTCCCCCAATAGCCCTCCTCTGCAGGTCTGGTCGCCCCCAACTGCCCTCCTCTGCCTGCCCAGTCACCCCTAACTGCCTTCCCCTGCAGGCCTGATCACCCCCAACTGCCCTCCTTTGCAGGCCTGGTCTCCCCCCCGCCCCCCAACTGCCCTCCTATGCAGGCCTGATCACCCACAATTGCTCTCCCCTGCTGGCCATATTGTGGCAGTCATCTTGTGTCCACATAGGGGTGGCCATCTTGTGTTGGAGTGACGGTCAATTTGCACATTACCTCTTTATTATGTAGGTTACTAGGTAACTAATTCTGTTGGCCTAGCATTTGAACTTTCATTATGTGTGAACACCTAGCAAATGCAGGTACTTAGGACAGACATTGCTAAGAACCATTGTTTTCATATTTGAAGTTAATATAATTATTCTGAGAGTATAATATACAAAATCTAAGGATATTTTTATAGTTTCAATTTTGGGGACATATGACCAAGAATTAGACACCTTATTCTTAATCAAAATAAGAATCTTATTTATCGATAAAATTCCCAGGATATAAATTGTATTTTATGTATTAATTTACCTAAAATAAGAGGTTATAAATGAAATTTCATAAAATGGTTTATCCTAACGAATAAAAATAAACAGAAATTATTAATATACCCAATTTAAGACTAGGACAATTAGACTCTTAACCCTTTTTAAAAACTTTACCTCTCAGAGTATGGCAGTGTGAATGGCAATGCCATACCTTTCACCTCTCCAAGCATCCTGATCCCTCTGCTGCCCCTATTTGACCTGAAAGCAGTGGGTGCCCTGCCAGCTGCACACTTGAGAAAGGGGCCGGGCTCCTGTAGCAATCAGACTTACTTGCTCTTTCTCCCACTCCGTGAGTCCGCTGCTGATGAACTGGCATTCTGTGTCAATGTCGTCATGAGCGCTGAAGATGATGAAAAGCCAGCTGTTTCCCTGGGCATTGAAAACTCTTTTCCCAGCTGAAAGTCATTGTTTTTGAATGCTTCGTAACTGGCTTTTAAACTTGATGTCCTTCGACCCTCTTTCATCTTGAACAGACATTCATTGATAGTATTAATATACATAAATATGTAGATTTTCTTTCTCAAGTGTTACTAGTTATAATACTTTGGTTTAACCAATAGTACTTTATTTTGTTTAAACCATTTTCATCATTGTAATTTTAAGCTATTTTATGCAAAGAATTTAAAATCAAGGCAACCTAGGTTCTGAGGCTACAGAGAACGCCCTGGAATGGGTAGATAGAACAAAGTATTGTCCTAGCAAGTGCTATAGTCAAGAACACCGACATCGTGAATAATTATTGTGAGGCGGAATCTGCATGAGATTGTATGAATCTATTTTTTACTTTTCATTATCAAGTAATTTCTGCATGTTCATTTCTTTATATAAACATCAGATATAAAACTATGATTTAAAAATGAACCTATGCAATTAAGAAAACTTTTTGTTCACACCTAGTTGTTTCTACTAGAATTTGCCAATATTTCAAACAAATCTAAACACCGTGTTTCCAAACCTTTCCCATTATTTACCTGAGCTGTAGCTTGAACTGCCTGAGCAGCTGCCATGGTAATTGCCCCTGCACCAGTTCCTGAAGATAATGAGCCAATATTATAGGATGCCAGAGGTTGGGAGGAATTCACATTATAAGCATTGTTGGATGAGGCCGTAGAATTATTATTTCGACAACCTGCATAGAATTAAACAATAATAGAAATGGTCAGAGAGAACGTAATGTTAGTGTGTTGAAAATACATTATTTCTCACCACAGATATAATCATTAATTTAAAATTTTCATGTCGCTATAAAATTATCATGTCATATTTTTCCTTTTTCTTCTTTCTCCATATGTAGAAATTAACCAGGTAAAGAATCTGTATGTTCATTAATCCTGAATACTTTCATTTTCCCTTATTTTAACATGAACAAGCAAAAGCAACCAATCACATTTAAGAAAAAACTTACCTAGTGTATTTTCCTTAGATGCATCAGATGTTAGGGTAGATAGAAGAGCTTCAGATTTAAACTTCTTTTCAGGAATATGGTCTGCTGTCGTATGGTGAGAAGTAGGATTATACTTCCTTTCTGCATATAAAAAATCCATGTGTTTTATAACTTTAGGGAACTATGGACAATGCATAATACTTGCATTTAGTTGTGAACTGGTACAGTTTATGACCTAAGACGGGACAAATAAAACTCTATGCCACATGTTTTATCAAGAGCAGATTTCTTAGACATTTAAAAAAATGTTTAGTAGGAAAGAATTGAAGTTAATCCATTAATGCTCCAGGGGTTCACATATAGCAAGAGGGAAATTCTGTTTTGAAAACATTATCTACAATTTAGGTAAATTTTCAATCAACCCTTCTATCATGTCAAATTGATTTGTCAAAAAATGCAGACAGTTATCAAGCCAACTGACTAACCATTCACTTAGTCACTAAGTGAAACGTTATTTCTGCCAAGCAGTAGACTAAGCATTGGAGCAGCAAGAATGAAAAAGACAAAGAGCTACTTTGTTGTTTGCCTCAGGTATTTGTGTGTAGGAAGTCTTTGCTGCTATAGTGCCATATAGTCTTCTTCTATGGATTCCAGGGAAAAACAGAACCCTGTTCCCAAATCAAAGATGCTTTTCCCAAGTGAAGAAAAATCTACCAATAATTGCAATGACAAATATATATCTAACAAAATAAAAGGAAAGGAAAGATACTTATGTCTCAATCGTGTAGATCTAATAAAAAAAAAATATACAGGCGGAATCTGCATGAGACTGTATGAACCTAAAGTTAAACCTAAGAGGTTATAAGGGTAACCAGAGCAAGGTAATATGAGCTTTTAATTCTATTTAATTTTATCTGTACTAACAAACCAAACTTACTTTCCACTGGAGTATGTGAATGAGCATGGTGATTGTTCACTGGCTGGGAAGGAGTATCTAATTCCAAAGATCCTGAAAAAAAAAAAAAAAAATGACAGAGATTCACTGTCATTAACTGTCACCAAACTTTATATGTCAATCAATTATAGGTACTGTGTACCCTCACCCAGCAGAGGACTAGCAAACGCTGATGTACATGCCTGTGTCACTTTAGTCAAACACATTAGGACACCACTGTCAATTTCACCCCAAATCAATAAGTAATCCATTTCTCAATATTCACCTTTAGTACAAAACAGGTCAAGGCATGCTAATTTTGATTAAGGGAATGCACAACAGTAGGTACCAAATACTAGTAAGTGGATGAATGAATATTATAACTCAACCCAGTTTTACTGAGTTGAATACTTGTATGGGAAACCCTAAGTATTAAGCAACAGGACATTATTGTACAAAAGGAAATTCTTTGATCATTAAAATGACCTAAAATAGTAAAGGGATTTTGCTTGTGAAACGTGAAGCACAGAATCTACTGCCAAGCTTTATAATACTTTTAAATAAATGTTCTGGGTTTATTGTGATCCCTTGAGATGAAATTGTGGCAGGGCATAGGGTGGTTCAGTTTCTGTATCTTGATCCAATTTAGTTTCATTTGTCTGTGTCCTTATGAAGATGCTTCATGACCCTTCCTGCAGTACTGAATAGGCATGAATTACCGTTACAGCATGTCAAAAAAACAAACAAAAAATCAAAGCAACTAAAGGACATTTTGTCTCAAAATACTTATTATTATCAGATAAGTTCCCCTGGAATAAAAATATCACAAATAAATTAAATGGTCACCAACATTGATGGATCCACTTTTGAATACAAAATGCAGCTATGGATTCATACCTGGCTGCTCTCTAGTTGACAAAAGTATATTAACAGAGTATATCAACAGAGATACACATAACCCAACACTGCAAGTACATTTTTTGGGTGTGTGTGTATATGTAGAAATATATACATGTTCTTGGCTCTGAAATGCACCAAGTAAAAAAGATGTTTGAGCCCTTTGACTAGATTCTAGTAGAAATCAGCCACAATACTGATTTGGCTCACTAACATTTAGCTGGTGTCTACTCTGGGCTTAGCACCACACTATATGCTTTTATGGACATCACCTATTTAGGTTGGAATAAATGCTAAATTAGTTAAAGAAACAAAGCTTATGTCTCCACTTTTGGGAAGTCTCTTTAGTTAAACCTAAGAGGTTATAAGGGTAACCAAAGCAAGAGATCAAGCTGACCCTTGCAAAGAAATGCTAAAATGGTCTCTTGCTGATTCGAGAAAATTTAGAGGAAAGAGACAGGACTGTGGAACCTATAAAATTTTTCTTATTGACACAATTGAGGAAATGCCTTAAAATGATTCTTAAGGAGAAATAATAACCTTCTTCAAAGCTTACAACTTATACAAAGCCTAAGCAGGCAGGGCAAAGTCAATACATTTAAAGACAAATGGTTGACTTGTTTCTAGATGGTCATTTTTCTTTAAATCTCTGCTCTTACCATTCAGCTTACCAGCACATATGCATATTAAAAAATGGAATGACTTAACATATTATTTTCATAGCCAGTGAGAATATTCTATGTTATCTCTCTCCATTTCCATGATCCAAACAGTTTCAACTGCCAAGGTCCAAGCTCTCGGGCCTGGTTGCCACCATCCACAGAGCGCAGGATCTGAGAAGCTGTGGGCCCAGGGTCTCCTCAGTGGCTTGCACAGATACTGTCCAACATTGATGGAAAATGTAAGTTTTACTTACGTCTCTCTAATATTTCTGTAATTCCAGCATTATCAGCTTCCAGCTCCATTTTAAACTTAGCGAGTTCCTGATCCAGCTTTCTCAAGTGTCGATCTACCTGTTTCAAAGAAGATCAAAGATAACCACCAAAACTTGGGACACTATTAAAGTGTCAGTTTAATGAGGAAACCTACATCTTTGTTTCTGTTAATGAGTCCGTTTTGCATCCTTGAGCAGATCGATTAACCTATACTTCAGGTTATTCATCTATAAAATGAAGATGCTGGCTAAGTAATCTCCAGAGTCTCCTTTAATAAATTTTAAGTGTTAAGAAAGCAGACTGTAATTTGTTAGAAAATGTCTGAAAAAAGTGGTATATAAAAAGTAAAGCAACAATGATAGGGATTTGGGAGAGGAGGGAGGTGCAGGAGGGCTGGTGACTTTTCATAGAATGCCCTGGATTACTTTTAGCTTAATCTGACCCTATTCATAACAAGGCTGTCCGCACTGACAGACAACAGCATTGTTATTTAGGATGAGCAACGAAAGACCCTCTTTCTCTACGAATAAAGAAGCTATGATATTCTATGCATATATTTCTCTAAGGCAGGAGAGTGAAACATTTATGTAAAGGGTTGAAACAAAAGCAATTTTTAGCCAGAAAACTGAATTCCTCAAAGAGCCTGGTTAAAATAGTTTTACAATAAAACTATTGCTCTTGTAAAGGTGGCAAATTTTATTTTATCATTCACCTAGAGATCTTTTGATTGATTTCAGAAATTATATGAAACCTCAAACTAGCAATAAGTCTTCATTTATTTTTTAAGCTTAATACTAATTATTTTTTCAAATACACTACTTTGAAGTGAAAGAGAAGAAATCCTAAATTCTTTGAAAAAATATTCATGTTGCATTATTGACAACCTCTTTTTCAAACTCTAATTTCCCAAAGAATCACTGTTATAATTAGTAACTTGCTTATAAATATCAAAATGTCTCTGATACAGGAGGAAAAACTTTAAGAATTTCAATTAAATAATGTGTATCTAAAATAAGGGGGAGGGGAGAAAAGTAGAGGAGGCAATTTGTGTGTTAGATATTTTTTCTAACCCTCCCTCTAACCTTTTGAGATAGGTTATTATTGTTTCTATTTCATAAGAAGAAACTAAGGTTCATAGGGAGTAAGTCAATAGCTACTGCATTATAGAAATGAGATTTAACTCTTATCTATATGTAATAAATTGTGTTTCACCATTTATGCCTAACATTGTTGTCCTCTGAACTTGTATATGCAGAAGCCAACTGTTGATTTGTTTTGTTTTTACTCAGAGTAATGTAATTCAATTTGAAAAAAATAGGAATATTATTTTATTATTTGTATTTGTATATTAAAACAGCAACCACTATGGTGTTGGTTTACGATTTTTCAATAATTTAAAGCCCAACAGTCCCTCCATCTTCACACACAGTTATTTTCCAGAACTTGGTTGTAATTATAATATTTAAAATCCGGTAAAGTCACACATTATGGACACTTGCTCCTATTCAAAGAACCTGCAGGTGATGAGCATCCTTTCCAAAAATAAAGTGTGAACACAGACCTCAGTTATTCGAATATATTTTACACTGTCAAAATTAAATCTCAAGGGAAATCAGAAAAAAAAATACTCATATTTAAATCCCAAAACCATTTAATCCACCACTTTTCCTGCCTACAAATATAATAATAATAAATACTGAGTTCTTATTATGTGCTTAGCACTGGATTACTTGGAGGATACATCAAGTATGAGAACCCCTATCTTCATAATTAGAATGTAGCTAACAAATCAAGATTTATATGTTTTTTAATATAATAAAGTTTTGAAATATATCTTTATTCTAGATGTAACAAATAAGCAACAGCAAAAAAAAAAAAAAAGTCAGAAGAAGCACCCAAAAAAATAAAACACTTGAAGTTTGTATGTTAGTGAAGAATGGATAGCATTCAAATATATAGAAAAGGGAGTAATTAGAACGCAGAGAGACAGGAAGACAAGTAGTATTCTTAGAGAAAAGGAAAGTAAAGTATGGTGTGGCCTGTAACGGGTATGTATGGTATAGAGAGAAAGAGTGTTGGAATCTCGGCTGGGGGAGTGGGTCAGGGGAAGAGGAAGACATCATACACATTTCTCTCACTCCATCCCTGCAGTTAGGATCGCTTTACTAAACGAAAGACAGTGCTGACAAGGTTTATTACAGCTGAAAGCACGGGAAATAATGATGAGAAGAATTTCCAATACTAGTTCAAAGAAAGCAATGGAACTCAAAGAATTAATAACTCTAAAATCCAAATTTATAACTAAAATAAACAAACACAGAAAAGCCTTAACTACACTGTGGTGGGCAACTTTGTAAAACAGCTTCCGATCATTCCCACCTCCTGGTATATAAAAAAAGATTACAAATTCATTTATTATTTATTTATTAGCAATTATCAGTTAGTGAGGACTTTCTTAGATTCACCATTCCTACTAAATCAAATTAGAAGTTGGAAAGTAAGTTGCTCACAATATTTAACTTAAGCTATAAAAAACCAGGATACTTAGTGTTAAGCATCCCTAGCAAGAGCTTAATTGAATTTGACTATGCTTTCTAAAGTGCTCTCCCTCTACTTGCATGATTCTGAATGGTTAAAGCCTCTATTCTAACTGATCATGATAATGACCCCACAATTTACAGACAAAGCAAGAACCTAAGTTATGCCACCCCAACCCCATAAGACTGATTTACAGCAGTAAAGAGGGTACTGGTCCAATTGACCAAAGATTACTTACACAAAGCTGAGCACAGACTCTGATTATTGAGTTATTCCCCATTTAATGTCAGCAAATGCTAGCAATAAGTTTCCTTAAAGCCAAAAATCATATCCTATAACCCCAATCATCAGTGCTTTAAGTTTACATCTATTATCCTTTTTCTGACCTCTTTAGAAACAAAGGAAATTCTTTCAACATTATTTAACATATTCATGATTATAAAGATGTTTAAGTCACAGTTGGCCCCTCTGCATAAAAATTAAAAAAAAAAAAAAACCTCATTCTCTCTCTAACATTCTTCCATAGTTGTAATCCTTTATTCTCTTTCGACTCTCCCAGTGTTCTAATATTCAAATTTTCACGTGTCCCTGAGGACCCAAACTGAACTAAATACATATAGCTTTGTAAAAGTTTCTACATGATTAATGGTTCCCAATACGGTCAAATTCTAAAATGTATATGCCTGGCTTACCCTTTCAAAATGAGCACTCAGTCCCTAAGCGAAAATCCAGGGCAATAAGAGATAAATTTCTATCCATGAAAAGATCAGGCAGTAGTGAATAAGAAGGATAAATTGGTGAAGAAAAAGGAACCATGATGGCAAATTATTTCTCTGGTAAGTCATGAAAATTGTTCTTTCCATCTCTGAATTATATTTAAACTAGATGAAAATTTGATCCATCTTTAGGCTGAGTCAAATAGTTGAGGACATTAGCACATGAACTACATCTAATCATCTTCCTAAAAGACAGTAAAGATAAAGAGACAAATCAAAAGGTCAAACATATATTTCATTCATTAGAGTATTAGGTGAAGAATTCTCAAATTTATGGGTAAAATGTGGGCCTGAAATATAACCATCTCAGGAATATGCAAGAATATAAAAAAGAACACGTTCAAGAGTAGTGGGCACTGTAACCGACTGCTAAAATCATTCAAGCATTAACTAAAAGCTCAAATTTTATCCGAGCATACATAAATGAACTTTATTAGGTACTGTAATCTAATGCAGCTATCTGACAGTGACATCTGGCTAAGGAACACAAACAATTGTATATGATTATGAGTATCAAGATTCTAGAAGGGAATTATTGCAATAGAAGATATATAGTTTTTTCTGTTAGTCAAATTTCACTAAAAGATACTGATATTTTTAGTTATATTGAACCCTAATTCCATACATTTTTCATTTGCTGATATTTAGGCAGTCCAGCTTCTTTCTTTTTTAAAAAATATATTTTATTGACTTTTTACAGAGAGGAAGGGAGAGAGTTAGAAATATCGATGAGAGAGAAACATCGATCAGCTGCCTCTTGCACACCCCCTACTGGGGATGTGCCCGCAACCAAGGAACATGCCCTTGACCGGAATCCAACCTGGGACTTTTCAGTCTGCAGACTGACACTCTATCCACTGAGCCAAACTGGTTTTGGTGTCAGTCCAGTTTCTTAATAAATATACAATGCAAGTTATAGGAATAAAAAGTTTACCACTGATTTTAAAAGCAAACAAAATATTTCAATGAAAAATAATATAATGAAATAGTATACTATAGTAAAACATTGACAGGCAAAATCAAACACAATTATATACTAAATTGTAATAGCTTAAAATCTGTCAAAATAATACATGCTTACTTAAAGTTGCCATAAAATGTGTTTAAGCGTATATCGATCTTCGCTAAGGTATAGTTCACTCCTCTGGTTAGAATCCTTCATTGGCCTCCCATTGCTTTTAATTTTAAAAATGATTTTCCATCACCATTTATCCCCTCTATGACTTCTTCCACCTCCGATCCCCTCTCTACACGCCCCCCCAGATACCCCCTCCCCCACTATTGTCCATGTCCATGAGTTCTATAACCTCTTTTTTTTTCCCTCTTTGGCTCACATCACTTCCCTCCCCACCCTCACCCCTCCACCACCCACCAGAGCCGTTTGCTTGGTCTCTATCTATGAGTTTGTCTCTATTTTGCTTGGTAGTTCAGTTTGTTCATTAAATTCCATGTGTGAAATCATATGGCACTTGTCTTTCTTTGACTATATACTTTCACTAAGCAGAATGTTCTCTAGGTCCTTTCATGTTGTCGCAAAGGTAGAATCTTCCTCCTTTCATGGCAGAGTAAATGTACCTCAGCTTTTTCAGCCCTTATCTGTGGGGAGCACAGGACTTGGTCGGAAAGTCTATAAGGAGGAATCTCTGAAAGGTTGGAGGCCTCTAAAGGACCTTACCGAAAGCGGCAGACCCTGCCTTGACTTTTCCGAATACGTCTGAGCCCCCGGTGTTTTACTGAAATCTTTGTTTAGTCTTCAGACATCCT